GATAAAATTATAGCCACTGGCTTCTGATCATTGAACTGTGAGAAAAAGTGTTCGAATATCGATGGTGTGCGATAGTAGGTTGCTGACTCTATAGGTGTTCTATTGGAAGGAAAAGATTATAAAAGAGAAGAAATACATGACAGCATTCACAATAATGTCACAAGAGAAGAAAGGTGGTCTTATATATTCAATTACTAACTGTCTGGGACTAAAGTATCAGAAGCAATTGTACTTTGTTGCTTACACAGTAATGGGATGCTTCTTCTTCATACTAGCATACTTATGCTTTATATCGTAAGTATATATAGCCACTAATGACTGACTGTAGAGAGATTGACTGATTAATTTTTATTACTTGCAAAAACTCAACTACCTCATCTTGTTCACTATCTCTTTTTAGGTTAGTGTATAATTACATTTTCTTTCTGGGGTTTATGTTAGTTGCCTGTTACAATGGAGCTACTTTCTATATCAAGGTTGTTGGGAAAGAATATTATAAAAATGAAGAAAAGAAAAATGAATAAATTTAAAGTTCATACTGAGTAGCTAATATGTCATTTTATTATTAGGCCAGTGCACCATTGAAGTACAGTTTATTGAAATGTGTTAAAATTTATATTTTTACAATAACAATAATGTTAGATCTATTTTGCTAGCATTCATGAGTGTCATCATATGTAGACCACTGTACTATATATGGAGTTGTTTTGAAGTACAGTCATACAGTGAAGCATCATAAACTCCTAATATAATATTACAGCAACTAAATAATAGTAATATAATTATAGTCTCACATTGCCAGCCTCTAGGGTCACAGGCCTGACTACGTGAGAGACTAACTCAATAACAGTCAAGACTTATAATGTCATTATTGGAGCTGTTTTCTGGTTGCTATTCCTTCTATAAGTTAGTAATAGTCAGCCTAATTTTGATATGATATTTAAAGGCCTCCATATACTAGACAACATGTTGCTAGAGTAATTAATCAATTATCGGACTAATCAAACTTCGGACAGTTATATTTTTAAAACTAAACATGATTTTCCAGTGATTTTTGCACTAGATATAGATCATCACAATATCTGTTTGCATGGTAAAAATCAAAGCATTACCTTTTTTCTTTGTAAAGATATAATTTGCTAAACACACTTCGTAGATTCACACAATAATCGGCCGTGTTAACTCCATTTTCGTCACTTAGCCACAACGAAGCAAGCTTTGTTCGAAGAATAGTTTTGTACCACCAGAACTTTAGTACTGACTGTCTTCTTCAAATACCACTGTAAACATCTTGGTCATCTTTGCTTACTGTTCAGGTATTATACCTTTTTAGTTAATTATCATTATCGGTCACACCCATCTTCATTAATTGCTGCAACAAAGCACGAGGCTCCTTGTTTGTATTTTTGTTTGGACTCATTGAATCTCTCAGCTGCCTTTTCTTATCATAAATACTACCTCTATTGAATGTAAGTCACTATAAAAACAAAATTTGTTTGTATAGCATGCAGTTTGTTTTCAAAGCTGCTCTATCATGTGTAGCCATAGTGCATGCAAGGTGCAAATTGCTTAGGCTTTAGTTCTGTAAAATAAAGGTACATCAATCTAGCACCAAGCCTTTTCCCCATGTTTACATGTCATTGGTATGATAATCAATTTTTTATGTTAATGTCTTTTTTAGATGGCAACACGCCCATGTACATACTCTACATGGCCTGAAATAAGCATGACGAATGCTATCAAAGCAGTTGAAGAAGAGGGGTTGACAGTTAGACTTGCAGCGGAGCTATATGGCATTCCCAAATCAACACTTTATGACAGGATCAGGGGAAATGTTCAACATGGAACTAAACCTGGCCCAGTGCCGTATCTTACAAAAGAAGAAGAGGTTATTTTGGCTAAGTTTTTAATCAAATGTTCTCAGATTGGATTTCCCCGCACAGTTTCAGAAGTTCTTGCACTAGTAAGACAAACAATTCAGTCAAAGGGTTTAAGTGACATCTCAATTTCTTATGGATGGTGGCAGAAATTTTGTAGCAGGCACAGTGAATTATCACTTCGTACTGCTGTGCCTTTAAGTCTTTCGAGAGCCATGGCCACTGATAATAGTGTCATACAAAAGTA